ACAGTGGCAATGGTGATAGGGGTCTGCAGCCCACGTCTATTACACCATTACGTACTCATTAGCCACGCCTCTCAGGCCATCACGGCATGCAGTGTGTCACCGTTTGCCAACTGGTGGCTGCGACCAGTAGCAAGGCCGTCATGCCCAGTCGACCAGATCTTAGACCTGCTTTGGGGGGCCTGGCCTGACCAATTCGCATCCAAAATGCTGAGGAGGTCGTCGACCGTCAGCTTGGACGGCAAGCGCCTGAGCCAAGGCTCTTTTGATTACTATGGTTATTTTATTGTAATGCCGGGTAGTATACTTATGGTATGGTATAGTACACTATAGTATATAGTATATGTAGTATATAGTATAGTGCTAGTGCAGCACTATGTGTTTAAGGGGTGTTGGTCCATTGCATTGCATTCCTTGTTTCCCTTTGCAACTAGCTTGCAACATCCCGCCAGGACAACCCTAAACCCTCCCAGCCCTAAACCTGCTCGGGATGGCTTGCACGCTTACTGGCCAAAGATACTGACCTTGCCACTGGCTGTACATCCTTTCCAACCAAATGGAAATTCTAGCCGACCAGATGAAGCCACGCAACCAAACTGGAAGGTATAGCATGTGCCAGGCCACTTGATCATGATGGCTGTTGCACCATCCGACAAGAACTCCTTGTCCTGGCCCTGGCGAGAGGACCGGCTCGATCACCTACACCGCACCTAGAACTCAGATCCCTATGCGTACCCTAAACCCTAACACCCCAAACTTCCCAACTCCCTGAAGCCTCAGAACCAAAAAAACACGGAACACCCAACACCTGTTAAACACATGATCCCATAAAAATACTATGCTATAAAAACAACGGTAAAAACAACCATAGAATAATTACAATAATGATAACAAAATAATCATAACAATAATAGTGGTAATCACAACAGTATGAACAATATGTTCTATAGTATATAGTATAGCATAAACTAATACATCGAAAACGACGCAGCCCTGAGCTTCGGGGAAGTGAGGGCCTGGGGCTCTTCAACCATGTGCAAACAACCACCCTCCCAAAATCAGAAATGCACACCAATTCCAAGAATAAGTGTCAGTTGCTTTTCGGTCTTGCAGCTTTCTGAAAGCTGTTTTCCTCAGGAACGGAGATGAGTTGAGAAATGTTATCTCCGAAGCTTCCCGGCTTCGAGCAGCCGTAAGTCTGTTGACGCTTGCGCTGGACATCCGTGTGTACGGAAGATGGATATAGGGTGTATGTATGTATGTATGTATGTATATATATATATACATGCACACATTTGCATACATACATATATATATATACACACTGTACATAGATAGGGTCTCGCCTGCAGAAATCCGATGGGGAGTAATGGTCTGGTACAATGCTACCTGGCACGGCACCTTTCGGCTCTTGATGTTTTCAGCCTCGGGCTTGCAGGTGTATAGGCCGTATGTATAAGTATAAATACAAACACAAGTACAAACAAACGTATATATATATATACATACATATATATATACACACATACATATAAAAATATTCTTCATGTACATGCATATGCATATGTATGTATATAATATATAGAAATATAAATACACATATATATATAGAAAAATAATCTAAATATGTGTATGTGTCTATATCTATATACACATACACATACATGTATTTGGTTGAGGGCTACTCCCAAACCACTGATTTCAGTCTCACAAGACCGTCAAAAAAACTTTCGCAGAAATTTCAGAAGCGTGCCTGCAGCTCAGATGACATACTGACATGCAGTAGTCACCCGGCGGATGCAAGGGAGCTGCTAGACTGCTAAGAGCTCAGAGGTGCAATGTGGCAGAGTTGAGCGTGATTACGTGCTGAAGCTGGTTTTGCCACGCTTGTTTTCAGACTTGGCTTGCATTGTCCGGCCCATGCTGACTTGCAAATGGCTGTGGGAAGAGTTTAACAATGGTGACAATATTATTACAGATAGCAATTAACGAATAAGAACTCTGCCAAGAAGAATAACAAGCATACTGCAGAGAGCGGTATTCACAAGAAGTGTAAGAGTAAACTAATACTACTACCAACAGTAACATTGCGCATCCTGCTGAAAATAACCCTAGTCGTTGCGCATCCTCTTCAAGGAGGCCTAGTGGCCTAGTTCTTGGTCGTTGTCGCAACATCTCAGGAAGCCAGTCTTGCAGCAGGCGGCAGGAGAATCACTAGAAGCCTACTCCAGCTTAGATGTGCACGCGGTTCCTGCCGCTGTTCTCTCTGAGATACTGTGCGGGGCATTCCTGAAGAGCTCACTCTTTTTTTGCTGATCCATCAATGGTCTGGTGCATCTTCCGAGAGAGAGTACCTGCACAAACGATGAGAACATCGAGCGGAGGCTGCAAGGATATGTGAATCGTTCATGAGGGAGCCTAAACATAAACACGGAGCCCAGCGCCGGAACGGCCTTCGCACTTTATCCAAAGTCCGCATTTCCCGTCGCACTGGCAGCACACAGGAGTTAAGTTCAGCAAAACAAAAGATCTCATCGTTTAGGGTTCTAAACTGAAACCCTGATCTTTTCCCTAAATCGTCATCGCAAAAAATCCTAGACGCCTGAAGCTCCCGATGTGCGACAGGCTGCTTGACCACTGCTTGCTTGTATAACTTCGTCTCCAGCGGCTCGAAGCCCTCGATCATCTCCCACTGCCTGTGCTTAATGGTCTAGGGCTTTTGGGGTTTTTGCCCTCTCGCATGGCTAAGGATCTATGCCCACAAGCGAGGATTCATTGAGGAATTGACAGACTGTGCACTATTGGGGTTTAGGGTTTAGGGTTTATGGTCGAGGGCTTTTGGGGCTAATTCGCGAAGGCTTTGGGGTTTGGGGTGCCAGGTTTGGGGAAAAAGGTTTTAAGTGCTGGCTTCAAAAGCCATTTCTTCTTCAATTCCGAAGAACTCCCTATCAACTTCCTTACCAGCATGGATTCATTTTGTAGAGCTTGCTAGAACAGCGGCCGGCTTGGTCTAGGGCGCATTGCATCTGCCATGCCACCGCAGTTGAAACCCAATCTCAACCCTGTTTTGAGCAGGGACTGTAATGCACTAAGTCTGAACCCTTTAAACCCCAAAACCCTGCAACCGTAAGCATAAATAAGCCCTAAACCCTAGACCCAAATAATGCATGTCGGGCATCTCGGCTGTGGAGCACTGACCCTTCTTCAGCTGGTGGCCCTCCTTCCTTGGCGGCTGCAGTGCTAAGTTTCGGAAGCCACCGACGAAACATTGCAAAGCCAGCTTACGTAACCGCAAGCCCCTCGAAGCTGTGAGTATCCGTCTTCCGACACCGATCCGAAGGCCACGTGCTTGCGTACACAAGGGTTTAGGGTTGCATGTGTGCGTGCTGCTTATGTACATACATGCATGCATACATACCTATGTATGCAAAGGTTTATTGAAAGACAGCCACATAGATATACAAGCATGCAAACAGACACACAGACAGGCAGGCAGACAAACAGCCCTACCGACCGACCGGCAGACATACTTACATTACTTAATTACATAGATGATTACATTCAAATTTTTTACGGCTGCAGAAGCATATCTATATGGCTGCATCCACGTATATACATAATCGCCCCTCTCGGCGAACTTCCAGCGAGAGCGTCCAGCTGTTTCTGAAGAGCCATCTTGATAAATGTCTGCGTCGTTCAACAGATTATGGCTTAATCTTTGTGTCAAGCCAGGCAGGTCCCGACATCAATAAGTCAATAGGATATACATGACTTGATGTGGGAGCCTAACCTCAAAAGCACATCTCTGACATGTGTGGCGGAATACATCTATGAGTCACGGCATGCACCACCCTGCATCAAAAATCTGACAAAAAGAACTGCAAGCAGACGGCGTAGGCCACTCGTCTTCCAGTGAGTGCTGACATATGCGAGAACAATACTACTGATTTCGACAGGCTCGGTCTTTGAGATTCTGGCCACCCACTGTGTGCAAGCTTTTCATGCCTTCAGCACATGAGCTCCTGAGTTTGGGCTTCAAGGTCTTGCTTCACCGTCTTCGGAAGCCTAGAGCCATCGTGCCGCTCGAAGGGGCAAATGCACGGCTCGCGCTCAACGGGCGAACAGACGTATGAGGGATATGATATACAGGTAAAATCTCTCCGAGTCCGGCGTGAAGTACTTGAGGCTCTCTTCATCCCGAAGTGCCATGGCCCCCAAACATCGCAGTATCCCTCTTAAACCGCCGAAGAATGGCTCCGAGCCTCTGTGGTTCTAGAGACCCTGCAGCGATTCTCCCATCACAACAGGGTCACCAGCATCATCGTGGGCATAGCCAGCCTGATTCAGTTCTCCTATCATCATCGCCCACATCATAGCAGAATAAGAACAATAGCAATAACAATAATAGTAACCAGAATAACAAGAATTTAGAATAATAACAATAATAAGAATCATAATAACAATAATTTAAAATAGTAATACTAATAATAATAGCAGGACGGCTTCTTAGCCAGGAGTCACTCCCAAGCATTCGCCGGAGCCATGCCAGACATGGCCAGAACCGTCGAAGATGAACCTACTCCAGCATTCTGGGCTCTTGCTTAAGGAATCTAACTTCATTTAAGTTATCATAATAGGGATCTATCGTGATTAATAGGTTTTCTGTATCATTAAAGTAACTTCTGCAACAATAACCTAGCATTTCGACTCACACGCTCACGCCAGCAAGCAAGGCTCGCAGTGCCTCGAGCCTGTAACTAATTAGGGTGGGAAACCGAAATCCCACATTGTTGAAACACATGCTCTCCACAGTTTGCTTCTTCTCTTGGTCGTTGCATTGATTACATCTCATCGCGCTGTGTCGCGTATATCGCGCCAGTGTTTTCTCATATTGCTGGACTTCTTGTCCTGTGTTGTTCACAGACCAGCTCTCACGATATGAAAAACAAGTTGCCGATTCTTTCTGTTGCGGGCTCAACTGGTGCTCGGGACCTGGACATCGTCTAAACCGGTTCTTGAGCAAAACCCACTGCACTCTTCCGAAAGCCGTGAATCAGGACCCACAGCTTTACAAGACTTTTGAAGGGAAGCTTCCAATCAACTGGTGCCTGTTGAAGCTCTAAGCCAACCGCGCTAAAGCGGCATGCAAATGGAGACACTCGAACACGCGGGTGAACACAGTGAAGAGGGTTCAGACCACGGCATATTCGGCTGGCTTGAAGTGCCTGGTCTTCCCCAGCATATTTCGAGTCGAGATGCTGCTGATCCGTGGAGTGCCCAGTGATGTCACAGAGTGCTGTTCCGGGTCCGTTGCCACCCAAGCCTGCCCAGCAGTCCTGGCAATGCGCGAGATTTGCTTCGGTTTCGAGTTGGGGCGCGAGGTCTTCCGTTGCACCTAAAGTACCTAAAGCCTTCACCCTAAAGCCTACAGCCCACTTTTTCTGCAAATTCTTGCATCTTCTTCAATCGTCAACGTGTCATAAGCTCCAAATTTTAGCTTGCACGCATCTGGAATTAGGTTCACACTGTCTCCCTTTCAACATCAGCTGGAAGGCAGAAATCATAGCCTTATGGGCACAAATGCCATGATTATCTGCTACTGCAAGGAGTACATTGAGGCAAGACAGAGAAAGGGTGGCCCAATGGCTTCACAGACAAGTGAGCCGAAGATTTCAGTCCTGAGTCTGTGGGCGGGGAGGATCCGGTATTCTTGAGATGAGACATGGATGACTCGGGCAGTTTGGAGGCGACCAGTGCAGCTCACAAACATGGGATCCAGTTGTATACACCCTCAATCACAAAGTTTATCAGAGGCCCTATCATATCAATCGGGGCTTTTGATAAACCCCGCAACTGCCCTAAATCCCAACCGAACGCATAATTAGCCCTGAATCCTCTGTCTCTCGCTCTCTCTCTCTCTCTCTCTCTCCCTTTTTTCGCAGACTCAGAGGTCTGTCGGACGCATGGGCGTCCTAAACCTAAAACCCTAAACTTATGAACCTCAATCCCAACACGCAGCCTTTCAAATCCGCAAGCAACAGCGACACGTTAAAACCAAGCCTAAACCCTAAACGCTAAAATCCTCAAACCATCTAAATCCCTAACATCCTAAACCCCAAAATCCTAAAAGCCCTCAACTGACGGGTCCAGAGAGTTCCACTCTCGGATCCCAGAGCAGCAGGTCTTCGGCTTCTGGCGCTCCACCTTTTTCCGGGGGACCCGGGGGACCCTTTTAAAGGAACCTCTGGGGTTTAGGTTTTTACACTCGGTATAGGTCCCTTGAAAGGAACCCTTACTTTTTAGGCTTAGGTTGCTTTTTTTTATAAGGAGCCCTTAGGGTGTATAGGGTTTAGGTTTTTTATACCCGGTATAGGTCCCTTGAAAGGAACGCTTACTTTTTAGGGTTTAGGGTTTCTTTTTTATAAGGAACCCATAGGGTGCAGTGTTTCGGGTTTGTTTTACTCGGTAGAGGTCCCTTGAAAGGAGCTCTTAGGGTTTGGGGTTGAGGGTCAAGTTGAGGGTCTTTCATACTCTAGAGAGGTCCCTTGAAGCCCTGGGGTTTTGGGGGCTTAGGCCTTAGGGTCCATTTTTTGTTAAGGGTTCGGGGTTTTTGGGGCGGGCTTTGTGCACGTTTATTAATAGGGGCGGTATCGGTATACGATCGGGGCCTCAGTCGTTCGAATAGGGTTTCGGAGTACATTTTCTGACAAATATACCAGTGACTACAAGGGCATATTTTAAGTAGTTGTGCAGACCACAAGCAGGCGACAGGGCAGCTGCATCAAAAGCCTATGGAGTTTTGGCTGAAGGCTTCGCAGCTCAATGTCCTTCATTAGGCCAAAGTCTGAAGGTAAGGCTGCAGCTTATACTGGGAACATCGAAAATCTCGGATGCCTATCTGCAAGGAAGATGATGCTGGTCAGAGGGCTCATACGCCCGGTACTATAAGAGGTGTTCCTTTTAAGGCTTTAAGGGTGCTATATACCTCCCACGTACTCGCAACCGAAGCCTGCTTTGCATCATCCGTCGACATGCAAACGGCAAAGACCCAGGTGCAGTCTGCCTTGGCTTCCGTCGGGTCTCAGGTTTACGCTTTCGCGAGGTCTCTCAGTCCATCAACTCTCCAACTACTGCTCCAGAAGCTGGCGATCAGGGTCTCGGGGTTATAAGGGCTGGGGGAACCGCGGCATCTAGCTCCAGTGAACTTCTAACGGATCGGATGCCGAGTCATGCGGCTAAGCCTCGTTGCACCACTCGGAGCCTGAGGAATAACGCGCACATTGTACACAACATCTCGCTGGTTACAAGTTACAACGTGCATGATTGCAAAGTGTGGGAACACGGGGTACCACGATCCCAGACAGCAACAAAAAGTCCCAGCTCCGCGAGCTGGCATTGCTGTCTGCTTGAAAGCTACCAGCCTACCCATGTGGAAAGATTGCAACTTCTTGTTTAACCATCATAGCCTGCAGCGTGTTGTAGCACCATGTCGGCACAACATCGAGAACCGTTCTCGTACAGTCTGCCCCAGCTTAGCGTAGACTGTGATCGCTTACCTAGGCTAAACAGAAGTCACCTTCTGACCGCCTTGACAGTGAAAGCAGCAGCTGGAATGCTTTTTGGTCGTAGTTGCCTGCCAATTCCCGCCCTGAATTCCAAACACCCCTTCGCAAAACCTCTGTAGCCCCGAGGCACCGCAGAAAGGTACTGAGGCTAAGGCCATGCCCTTGTGGGCAGGCGTCGCAGCCGCCCTTCCTCAGTGGATGCGCCCGTCGTAATCAAAAGTTGGCCACAGCACCTGCCACTACGAGCGGCCTTGGCACGCGCATTTGGTGTTCGCGTGGTGTTCACACTCTTGCTTTCTGGTCAGCATGCTTAGGATGCTAAGTTCGTCTGCTCTCGTGGAACTATAATCAGCACCGTTCGTAACACTGCCTTATCACACTCCGATATGTCTCGAGTTCAGCCTCGCTGCGCCTGATGACCGCCACAGTTCACGAGCTTGTCTTCCCGCTTTGGCGACAGGGACGCCAAGGACGCGGGCGTTGGGAACCTGATCGAGCTCCGGCCTTCTCAGTGGTCCTTCTTTTATGTGTTGTTTCGGGCTTTCGCTCTCGCAACTACTCGGTCAGTGCCAAACGAGGTCTTAGGGTGTAGGAGTTTGGCGGGGTTCGGCCTCCCACCTAGCTAGGACAAACCCCACATTGCAGGGCACAGTCGAGAGAATAGTTGACATCGTGATCCTTGCATCATGTGGCAACCATGAGCAAAGGACATTCGAGTTTGGAGCTGGGGAATTTTGGGGTTTCTGGGCGAACGCATAGTCTGCGGGGCCCTAAACGCCACACCGGTTTGGCCAGGAACTTTAACAGAAACCTTAAAGGGGCTTTATGGAACCCTGAAATGAACCCTTACAACAGGGCTTCGGGTCGTGGCGTCCGTCGGACTGAGAAAGTTGGCCATGGAGGGTGCTGGGGAAACTATGCTTGCGGATCCGTCCTGGCAGTGCAGGTGTGACGAGTAGAAATGCAGATCGCTGTAACCAGACTACCACTGCAGGATGCAACTACCACTCTTGTTATCATAGCTGCTGCTAAGGTACTCATTCTTGCAGCCCTGCATGTTTCTTGCAGCTTGCGAGAGCTCCCGTGAATTTGGAGGCCCAGGATGGCTTCAGCTTCATGCAGTATCCCAAAGTCCTGACCCCTGAATCTTAGTTGAGGCCCCATAGCCCGAAGCAATGAGGTCCAATTGTTGCTAAGCCCTTAATCACGACGAGATTTCGGGCCGAGTGGCTGTTCCGGGATCATGTTGCCTCGGTGGAACCACGTGCCAGCCTGACCTTGGCGTGTTGTCGCCACTCACATTCGGACAACGGTTTTCGGGTTTAGGGTATCTCCCGGGCTCCCTTGATGGTCAGGTTTGAGAAACACTCGCTCTCGCACAAGGCTGGCAAGGCTCCACACAATGGTTAGGTTTTGGTAATTGGGCTTTTCTGCTTTCGGTGTAAGCCTTGAGGGTGTTAGGGCCCTTCGGGTAGGTTTTGGTATGGCGCTGTGGGGCTGAGGGCTTTGGGAATCTAGAGGTTTGAGAATCTGAGCGCTTGGTATGAGTCTTTGGGGACTTTTGGCTTGAGGGTTAAGGGGGCTTTGAGGTTTAGGCTGTTGGGTTTGGGGATGGTTTCCGGGTTGGGAGTGACTTTTTCCGGGTAGGTGGACACCCTCCAGCAGCTGGATCTGGCTCAGGCTTTAGGGGGGGGGGGGGGGGGGNNCAGGGGGGGGGGGGGTAGGTTGGAGCTTGACCCTGAAGCCGAAACCGTAGCTTCCAGGCTTCGACCCTGATTTGACCCGCAAGTCAGAACTCTCACCTTGCCTGCCTGCATCAGCCGGGCGCGACTTAGGATGCCTCACCAGCCTTTGACATGATTAGGGCTGTGGATGCCGGAGTTGCAGCTTCCCGAAGTTGCTGGCAGATCTTGAAGGGATAACATATGGGCCTTAATAACTAGAATAGGGTTTGGGTTGTATTATATTGTAATTATTAAGGCCCCTACATTAACATCACCAAGCCGTGCCGTCACGAGCTGAGACCGCGGCAGTTATGCAGGACGTATTCGCGGTTTCGTCTTTGGAGGCAGAGCCCAGTACTGCGGCTGCGGATGCGAAACACCTCAGTGAAATGCACATCTGGGCATAACGGTTTAGGGTTTAGGGTTTCATCTGGGCATGGATGTGGTTTCCAGCCTTGCAGCGGGACCGGCGGAAGCTTGCTGAGCATGTACTGAGCTTCCCACAAGCTCCGGCAGCATCCCGCTGTCCAGGTAGATCTGTCCGCACACAGAATCTTCCGGATTCGAAGTCTTGGGTCAAATGCTCGGACTTTCGGAGGGATAAGTCAAAATTGTGGCTCTTGTGCAACAGGGGTACATGGGTCTGATCAACCAGCATGACTGGCTACGTTTCTTGCATTGCCTTGGCCGGGACGCACACGTAGCGACGTTCTATTGAGTTACTACAGTACATGCAGTGCCCCGTTTCGTAAAGCTGCTTCATGCAAGGGCAACAAAGAGGACTGCCGTAAGCTTCGTCCGAAGCAATCTCAATCAGAAGCTTCTTGGATCTTCTGAGCACGCGGAAACATGCAACACACAAGAAGGAACAGTGTAAACCTTGAGCATGGGCCTTGCGAAAGCGATGGAGGAAGTAGGCGAATGGCTTGCAGCCCAGCCGTTGCTTCAAGGCCAAAGTCTGTGAGACGTTGACATGGGGTAGATCACCTGAAGCTCTCGGTCTCAGAAACAGTGCAGCAGCTAATCATGGGATGGGAGTCGAAGGAGATACCAAGCTTGCATAGTTTTGCCAGGATACTGTGCCTACATGTTGCCATGGCGGCTACGGGCATGAGGGCCTGGGTTTGAGGATCACAACGATTTGCTTCTGCTCCATGTTCAAGCTCCAGCTGGCACGTTTGTGCCCGACATGAGTCATCATCTGAACAAGCAAAGCCTCGCACACACTCACGATAAGGGCAATAGCTCCTGAAATTGACATGCGCATCCATGACAGCTCTAATGAACCCACATCTCTTCAAAAAGCACTTCCAAAAACAAGAAACGTGCTGCTGCTACCGCTCCGGCTGCTGTTGCTGTTGCTGCTGCTGCTGCTGCTGTTGCTGCTAGTGCCTAGTGCTATTGTACTGCTACAGCTACAGCTACTGCCACGACTACTACTAGGACTACGACTTCTGCTGCTGCTGGTGCTGGTACTGCTACTGCTATCTACTGCTACTACAAGCACCAGCACCAGCACCAGCAAACAAGCAGTCTGAGACGCTCTTCGGGACTTCACCATGACTCGATGGCGAGTTCTGCAAAGAATCCAAGAGTAAGACACTGCCATGCATAGCATTCATTGCCAGATTCGCTCTCTCCGTCACCATGCTCATGTATACCCATCCTCCTTGATGATGTTGGAAGCTGAGCACCCCCCACAAACAACCCAACAACTACCATGACCATCATCGTCATCATCGGAACAACAAGAGCATCGAGCAGGACAAGAAACCACTCCGGAACTTCGGCAGGAACTCGTCAAACCATGCAGCAGCCGTGCGAGCAACGTTGTCATACTTCCTCAGCAATTGGCCAAACTCAATACTTCCACTGCAGCGGCTGGCAGCCCTTTACGACGAACCAGTGGCGTGGCTTCTCGCCAGAGCAAACCAAGTCAGTGATGGCCCACTTTACTTTCCCCCCCGCCCCTGGAGTGCAGCGAAGACCGACTGCGGTTGCAGGTATATTGTGACCATTGTCCTGGTCACTAGTCCTCGTACGCCGAGGACCCCGAAATCAGAACCAGGGGGCTGGCGGATCTTGTAGCGCGCGATCGTACCTGGGACCATGGTGGCTGTCATGTTCACGGCTGGAACTTCGTTTCCTAGAGTCCTAGAGGCCAGACTTGTAGCTTTGTTGGTTTGGCTTATTTGGTGTCAGCGGTGGTGTCTAAGCCACTAGACTCGGGCGTGGACGTGGTTCAGAGTCCCGGTCAAGACTTCAGGAGCCTGACTACTTGTCGCTATTAATCTTGTAGGCAGCAGGGCCTTGTGAAGGCTGTCGATTTCATGTGACACCAGACAGCCCTAAACCCTAAACCCTATAAGCCCTAAGATCAGCGATCTGTGTCAGCAAGACATGAGACACCGCAAGTTGAAGGTCGAAGTTGCGAGGGTCGGCTTCGGTCCTCCACATGTGGGCAACGATGCTGCTCTTGGCTCTCATGACATCACCTCGGTCATTGCCGACTCCAACACCACTGGGCAATCGCTCTTGTCTAAAGCCCTGGCCACCAGCTCTAAACAGCAACAGCAGCAGCAGCCTTCCCCACAGCAGCAGCAGCAGCAGCAGCAAGTGCAGCAAGACAGCGCTACCGTGAAGTGCATGAAACAATTACGGAGGCTGACAAATGCTGGACTGCATTTCTGCATCATAAGCAGCTTGAATGCCAAGACCAATGCCGGTGATGGTCAGAATCGTTGTCATGACAGAAGCCATGACGGTATTGGAGCATGGCCGTGCTGCTGGAGCTTCGACTTCTGTTGACGGTGGTGATGGTGCAGGTGGAGTTCAGAAAGATGCGGGGCCGACGTTGGTGATGCCTTTGATGCTGATGGTGGTGATGGTTGGCGTGAAGAACCCGTTCTGCGAAGGAGAGAAAAGTAGGAACAACAAAACGGCTCCAGGACTTCACAGCATCTCATCTCACTGGTGGATGCTTCAAAGCCGGTGGAAAAGACCGACTTAACAGCCGTGCTGCCTCCACAAAGCCAGGTTCGAATTGGCTGCTCCGTGTTCTCTCCACCTTGATGACAGCTGATCTCGACATGTCTGACAACCAAAACATCCAAGCTTGCTTGCCCTTGACATAACGAAACGACTCTAACGACTTCTGCCGAAAGCCTTGGGCGCCTGCAGCCTCACTTCCAATATGTCTGCAAACACTGAAGCCACACACAAACTTGTCGGCCAAAGTATTCAACAAAAGATCTGCTTTCACAAGGCTACTCGCGAAAGCACCTCTTATGGCAATAGCTGCGCAGAATGAGCAGCCTGTGCATCATATCTGTACCTGAATCAAAGCCTCGTAGACCACAAACTGGAACCCTAAACACTATATCTTCAAGGAATGTCAGAAAGTATCTCAAAGCAAGATCTCTAAACCCCCCCCCCCCCACCCCAAATCTTACAACCCACACCCCCCAAACCGTAAGACCTGGAAAAAGGCGAGCCCGAGGCGCCCCACCCGTGCATTCCAGGATCCTAAGCGCAAGACGGAAGCTTTAGGAACAAGGGCTTGGGGTGTAGGAGTTTCGCTTTTTGTTGTTTTGAAGTTTGGGGTTTATATGGGTTTATTCTCTCGCAGCTCGCTCCGGCCAGTTGAGGTCCCTCGATTCGAACGTAGGGTGATGTGACACAGTCTCTCGTTAAGGGTTCAGGGCTTATGCGGGGATGTTTTCAATTTCGCTTGTAGAGTGGTCTTACGGGGTTAGAGTTCTCAAGGGAGGCTCTTTGGCAACCACACCCCTTGCGGGCTACACCCCTTCAGCACCCTTTGTGCACATTTGGGTTTCCAGGTCCAAAGACGGCAGGAGGCTTGGGCAATTAGAAACATGTCATGCCCATTGCTTTTTCTTTCTGACATCCGCGAGTCTACGGCATGTACTGCACTGCGACAATAAAAGCAACACGCCATGTATAAACTCGGCTGGCGCGGTGGGTTGATTGAGAAGAACTAGGATATGCACGTTGCACGACGGGCTTGTGCACGGTTTCGACTCGTCTTCACGTCTCTAGTATGGGTCGTATGGCCAGCCCCCGAACACGTGACAGCTCTGGCCACTGGCTCAAAAGCTCTTGCAGCTAATTGTGCTTGCCAGTGCTAATCCTAAGATCCCAACCCAACCCCTGAACTCTAAACTCCAAGCCTTATTGTAAGCCCTAAACTCCCAACTCGGATATATATATATATATCACACATATGTATATATATATACATACATACATACATACATACATACATATACATATATATATATACACACATACATACATACATACATACATACATACAAAGAACCCGCTCTTTATGTCTCAGATGAGGAACGAAACCACCAGATTCCGTCCACCACTGCCGAGTCGTTGCCACAAGGCCACCGCTGATCACCGGCGTGTAGTCAGACTCATCATCATACCACCACCAATCCTGGGTTCTTCTTAAGGGATTTAGTTTAAGTTGCCATAATACGGAAACCCTATTAATTACTATAGATCTCCATTATGGTAACTGAAACTGAACTTAAGTTACCATAATAAGGAAACCATTATTTACTACAGATCCCGATTATGGTAAATTAAATAAATCCCTTAACAAGAACCACCAGTCCTCCACCGGAGCGGCTGGGTTGAGGGTTGAGAGTTTAGGATTTAGGGGTTTTGGGGTTTTGGGGTGCAGGGGTTTTAGGGTTTTTTTCCAACTCGCACACCTAAGGTTTTAGGGTTTAGGGTTTGTGTTTGAGGGGTTTTGGCTTTAGGGTTGAAGGCTTTTTTGCCTCCCACCTAGCTAGGACAAAGCCCACATTACGGGGTGGCTTAGGGTTTAGGCATGCCGGCTCAAATTTCGACTCCCACACTCGCCCGAAGCAGGCAAGGCTTTCATGAAACACCCCAGCAAGGAATTAGGGTTTTTGGGCTTTGGCAGCTTTAGCAGAACCCTGGCGACGCAGCCAGAAAGAGTTGGGCTTGGGCTGGCAGCACATTGGGGAAAGAGAATGTTGGTACTTGCGCGTTTCTTTCGTTGCCACGGCTGGGAAGTATCACCTTAAACCCTAAACCCGCTTGGCCTTTGTCTAAAAGAAAAAAAAAGGCAAGTCATGCACGCTGGTTCGTTTCCCAACACAGAATTCCCAAACCGCCTCAGCCCCAGACTAACTCCGACCTGCAGAGCCCCAGGGTCGAAAGCCCAACAAACTCTCTCATCCCATTGCACCGATCTCGTTGAAATAGCTGGTAAGCACCTCTTTCTGGAACGAGCTATTAACTAACGTCTGCCAGGGCTCGGCGTTGAAGTTGACCCAACACTTCCCAACGAACCCTCCATTGGGGATCTCATCCCAGGTATCGATGTCTAAGCCTCCGATCATCGGAATGACCAAGCGTCGCGTCTTCGCCTAACAGTAACAGGTGGGTCGGTGCAGTAAATCCCCGGACCCCCCACACACCAGCTCGCACGCCCAACATCCTTAACATCGAGGGCCGGCCGATCTATGATTTCAACCCCGGTGGATGCACGCCTCTTCGTGCTGCAATCGACACACCCCTCTTTTAAATACCCCCTGCACGCTGCAATCGATCAGCCCAGCAGCTCTAAGAAGCTGCATCGTCTCTTTGTGCCACCCGCGCCGCGGCGCAACGTGGCAATCCTAGGACTGCCAGCAACCCCTCGAGAGCTTCCGCATTATTTGGTGCGGTCCTGAGGAACTCGCTCACGAATGAAACGGCATCACCCGTCTAGGAACCCTGAAGACCCTGACAAGCATGTCAGATGGTGCTATAGAAAACAACACGATCTTACGAAGTGATGGCTCCAAATTTGGTGTGGCCCCTGTATCTTGCTTAGACTACATGATATGTGCAACATATACGCACATATACAAGCATCGCTACCTACCCACCTACCTACTTGCCTACTCTGCTTGAGGGGATATGTACCTTGGTTCCTACACACCCACACACATGCGTGCGTACGTACGTACGTACGTACATACATACATACATACATACATACATGCATACGCACATACATGCCTACATGCATACATACATACATACATACATACATACATGCATACATACATACATTATGTATGTCTTGTACTGGATTGTATCGTATATTGTATTGTATTGTATTGTATTCTATGTACACACGCATGTACGCACGCATGTATGTACGTATGTATGTAGGTATGTAGGTATGTACGTATGTAGGTATGTATAAGTATGTATGTGTGTACATGGACATACCCAGGTACAGATTGTCCTGTTCTGTTACTGGTCTAGATCTTCTGCATGCTGCAGAAGGGTTGTCTGAGTCACTCAACTCCCTTGGAATTACTGAAGGGCCCCACTGGAAGGTTGCAGTCGGATGTGCAGAGTTCTTGGTAGGCTAGCCGATCAAAATCAGTCTGCACAGTCCTATAGACAACCGGCGGTGGCGTCTTCGTGGCACCTCCATGGCACATACATCAAACCCCGCATCCAGAACACTTCAAGAACATAGCTATACTCAACTTCGATGACGTGGGTCTCACCTGAAAAGAGACCCACTGATACTGTACATGGCTGGGGCTTGAATAGAGAGCTGGCATCGTCAGCGCTACAGTACTGTTTTGCATCTGCCATGTGACGGCCGTTTGAACTTGGACCTCCCGTCCCTGAAAACAACTGCATCGCAAGCTTCGTAGAAACCAATGTAGTCGCCAACAGCAGCATCGCCGCCTGCCGTGGGTCTGAGCTCGGGCTAAGCAAAGCACATCTGTGTCCGATGCGACAGCACCACGCTCCTCACATGCTCCCCACAGCCCGAAGGAGCATTTCGCATTCTAATTGGTGAACTTCGGGCCTCTACGCTTATGTTCGGAGATCAGTGTTTTTTGGTGGACTCCTTCACCTAAAGCGATGTGCCTGTCTGCTTTGCGATCATGAGACCCCTTGGGCCATCCTCGTGGCGAAGCACCTTGGCTGTTTCTGCAAAATGTTAGGCTTGGGCTTCTGTTCTCACGCTCGCAGACTCGCCAGATAAGGAGTATGGTTGGAGTGGTAGGCACTAATCCAAGAATGACAACAAGAACCATCAAAAGCAAACAGATCGTTTCAAATACCGTAGCAACATGTAGCAAACGCGTGCCCTTTTTCTTCGCTTGTCGTTCCTGTCTGTATGAAACTGTATTGCTAGTGCGTGAAGAGGCCGCGACGGCGTTGGCCGACGGGGCACGGATCTTTCGGAGCACTTCTTCTCCCTGCAAGATGACCACTCCTAGACCATAACCGGTATAGGGTCTGGAATCATGTGTGCCCGAACCAAACAAATCAAGACCACACTCGGATCCTAAACGGCCTTCCGAAATCGTGGGAACACCCTGGCCCGATGATGCAAACTACAGCCTCACCTTTGCTGAGGCGGGAAAAATCAACACCGGTGGATGCGCAAGCAAAAGACCCAGCGTCAAACACGTTGGGGGGAAAAAAAGCCAAGAAGGGCCAAGAAGCCCAGAACTCAAACAGTTCAAACACTCTCCCCTAAACCCTAAACCCTAAAGCCCAGAACTCAAACAGTTCAAACACGCTCCTCCACAATGTAGTCGTCGGGAAATGCCAGGGCGGACACCCTCTTGCACTCTGCGCGGTCCCCTTCGAGGCCTCTCTGCAGAAAGCTGGGGAGTGAGAGCCAGTCCCCCGCGAAGTCCCGTGCCGTGAAGCCCCGAGCATCTCCTATAGGCGTTGATTGCAACAGTCCCCCCCACTATGATTAGGTATCTATATTATTATTAGACAATAATAAAGGAAAGGCAAAACTACCCCAAATCGATACCTAGTTTCTGGTATCCAGCCGGGCGCCTGCTGCGATGAGGGCCGCGGCGGCCTCGTACTGCGCCATCTGTAGGGCTGCCATGAGCGGTGTGCGGCCATCTATGTGGTACGCGCAGGCGGACAGCTCCGTCTGTCGCCCGAATCGATGCTTCAAGGCGTGGAATCCGAAGATCAGGCGGCCCAGGCGGCTCAGATTGCAGAACTGATCGGACTGATGGTCCACGTTGGCCCTTAAGTGGAGTAGGCGATGCACCAACTCTGCAGAGCCCCCCCGCATGACCATGGCTGAATGAAGCGCTTGGGAAAGCTGCATTGGGCTGGGCTCTTTCTGCCTTAGGATCTCCTCCATGACGGCCTTCGCCCCGTTGCCAACGGCATTCACGAAAGTGTCGGTGCCGAATAAGTTTTTCACAAAGGGGTCAGAGCCATTCTCGCAGAGGAGGCGGACGCCCTCTGCATTGTCACAGTTATAGGCTGCTTGCAAAGTCGGCCCGAGTCCACCTTTCATACTGGCCCGGGCGGCGATTAAGAGCCGTGCCACATCGTTGTGTTTGAAGTAGATTGCCACGTCCAGGGCAGACATCCATATGGGGAGACCCAGCTGCGGATCATCTTTGGAGGTGCGCCGGTGGAGATTGGCGCGCAGCAGCAGCAAGCCCTCGACCAGCTTCACATTCCCTGACATGGCTGCGTAATGCATGGGCAGCCAGCCCGCAGCATCTCTGTGCGTGGGTCCCGTGAAACCGTTCTGGAGAAAGAAACTCGCCACCAAATCGACGGTGCCATCTTCCGTGTTAAATTCGTTTCCGAGAGTGAGGCCTTTCACGGGCTCCAGATTGAAGCCTCGGAAGTGGACTGCTTGGAGATTCAGATATCGACGGTAGCTCGGCAGATCTCCAGCTCTCAGAGACAGCTTCAGCTTCCTCTCGACGATGGCTTTCATGACTGGGGCCAGTCTGGCACGGTCGCTTTCGATAGTGAACTCGCCTTCACCAACAGATCCAGGTGGAAAGGACACCGTCCCGCCCACGACTTGGACAACCGTCGAACTGTACACAATAATCCATGTTTCATGTTCAGAGAACTGGCGCGACGCTCTCTCGACCCTACACCAGCCTCGCCTCGCCCACGTTGCCGCATTCAGCACTCGTGTTTTGCCTTCGATTGTTGGACAAAGGGCGAAGAAGTAGCGACACTTCGCGACGTAGGCAGGGATGCTGTCGATTGCCATGGCCTGCAGAGTGTCGCCTCCTTGGGTTCTGATTTGGACTTCTGGCTTCTGCTGCGGGACGGAGAAGAAGTCGTACCAAATGAACAAAGGCCGGCTCTGGAGATCTTGAAGTGGCATTGCTCTGGCATTGGGGCAACTGAGTTCAGTTACCCAATCCAGGGGAATGGAGCCAGTGCTCTTCATGAGGCGCCTCAAGGCACTCTGAAACGGCTGCATCTGCCTCATTTCGGGATCGGGATGTTGCTCAGCAACCCACTGGTGCGAAACGAAGCCAGCATTCCCCATGCTGTCGTCGAACACAACGACATCCCCCCGCGCCTTCAGGATCTCGTGGGGCTCTATCTCCGTAAGCTCTAGTAGCCGTTCCGCAGCTACTGTGTACATAGGGAACAGCATCTGAGGCTCAGCAACCGCAGGCATCGAGTGTGCATGCAACTCCAGGGCTGTCTGGGGTCTTCCCAGGCACCGCGACATGAAACTGAGCCTTATCTGGAGCTATCTTTCATCGCCTGCACTATAGGGGCTTGAGCCACATGAACTGACGGGCAATAATCACATCTGCTGGGGAGCACTGGGTCCCGGCAAGACCTGGCTTCCGCTTCAAGCCGGGTCTGGGCTGCTCCGGAGCACAGAATGGAAGTCTGAGGTGTTCTCGTAGCCCAAAACCCGAAGGATAATGACTGCTGCTCATCGGCATTTACCTCGCCAACCTTCAATCACGGCTACAAGCGAAGCTGGCAAGACCTCAAGTACATGTAGCTGTGACCCCCCCGACACACACACACACACACGCACACACAGACACACAGACACACAGACACACACACAAACACACAGACACACAGACACACACACACACA